AACGAGGTTTTTTATGCAATGTGTGATCATAAAATAAGACTGCTTTCCTGCATTTAAATAAGCCCAAAGTAGATTATTTTACAGATACTCATCATTATTTTCTGCTTGCTTGCTTATTTGTTTTTCTACATGACGGCATTCCAACATTTTAATGTGCTTTTTCTGAAATCTTTGTTGCCAGATTTTATTATTTATTTAAGTTTTTAATTAATTAATCTTTTTACAGTGTGTTATCAGCTGCAGTTTAGCGTTTAGACATGTTTGTTTCAACTCCTGTTGTCTCAGTCAAAGTCCCATGATCATTTAATTATAGCCCATTTCTGTTCTCAAACAAAAGCTGCTGTTTAGCCCAGTGGTTCTCAACCTGAGGGGTTGCTAGATAGATGTGAAGAAAATTATAAACATAGTGTGTCTAACACTTCAGTAAATTCTATTGTTTTTAACATATGGGAAAATAAGAGACGCCAAGTTCACAAAGGTGGAAGCCAGGAAAAACAAACTGCTTTTTTTTTTTAGACTGAGCTGTGCTCACTGACGAAAACAGAAGTTTATAAGAAACCTACACACACTGCCTCTACCAGGACAGAGAGGGGGGGAAAAAACATCAGCAATAAAGTCAGCAAAGAGATCTGGAAAAAAACAAAACAGGGAAGAAGACAACAGGTGGAATGACGTTATGCTCCTTTATGTAGCTGGAACAACTTACAAGGATATTCTCCAAACCCGACATATGAGTGCACTTCAGACTCAGCAACACTCTTAAAGAAACACTGGTCCATGTCAAGGATAAAACACCCACATACAAGCTGAGCAACACTGTATAAGTAGTCCAAAGCAGCAAAGAGTGCACAGACCTATATGACTAAACAACAGCTTCACAAGCACCAATACAGGGCAGCCAGCTCCTCAAGACATATAGTCCACCAGTATTTAAAGGACAAGGGGTGACCCTTTGAGGATAACATTCTGGACAGAAAAGTAGAAAAAAAAAAGTCCAATCGTTTTTACCGAAGGTTTTAGGATTACTATGGCCTAAACGACAGAGAATCTATAAGTACGCACTATACTGGAAACTATAAAATCAGATTGAGAGTGGTTGTGATAGACCTGCGATCACAAGTCACTGAGGAGTCACAGATGTCATAGAGTTCATGAGGTAGTCATTGCTGCTTGTAAGTTTGTTGTCCCACTTTTCCCGAAGGGCCTGATAAATTTGCCAGATCATATACGTCAGGCACATCCGCCCGTAGCCGATTCTTGTCTTCCTCTTGTAATTTGTGGTTTTGTGTCGTTCAAATAGAACAGGATTTTTAGGTGCCATTGGTCTGTGTCCTTTAAAGCCACACTAACAGGGTGTTGATTAACTCAGTAGTTTAGAATTTGTCTTCAGTTGAACAGCTCAGAAACATTTTGCTTACAGTTGGCTGAGTTTAACCCTTTGCCAACTCAACGACAGAAACAAGATTTTAAAAGTTTTCTCTGAGTCAGTAAAAAAGACCATTTGCATGATGCATTGTTCAGTGCAGTTAAACTGAGGAATTGTTTATACATTGCATCACCTGTGTCAGCGACCTGTACCTTAGAACTGATTTTATTGACCGTGTTTGTAAAAGTCAAAGTGTACGTGACTTTCTGACTGAACACAAAACAAACACACACAAACAAAAAATCATTGTAGCACTGTTGTACTTCAACAAGCAGCTATAGCCAGTTTTGCTATCTATCACATGGGAGAACTATGGAGAAATGGCCTCCCTGACAAAGAATTCCAGCTCAAGATTAGCCGCAGATGTCTTGAGGTCGTTCACCTGAAAGTCAGACAGCATCATCAAAAGAGAAGCATGAAGCAGGTTCCAACAGAGCCCTGAGCACCCAACAAACCTTAGGGTGTTGTAAAGTAAATGTCCCAGTGTCCGGGAGAACTATCCTGTTGAGTGACCTAAAAAAGGTTGAAAACCACTCTTGTAGTCTTGCATGTTGTTGCTTTGTCCTGCAGAAATCACGCACAGAGGTCACAGTTTCTCAGGTGTAACTTCAACCTCCTGCAGAAATGGTTGAACTAGAACTGAATAGAAACAAATCATTGTATGTATCATCGGACCATTCACCACCACTTAAAATGTCTCAATCATCGCTGGCACCAACCATCTTAAACAAGTTGGATATCTGATTGTCTGACCTATATTTGATTTTGTTTTTAACAGTAAGGCCTCACTGATTTCGGTCAAACTGACCAGATTGTGTCATGGGAGTCCCTACCTTCCTTCCACTGAGCTGTCTTGACCTTCTCATTGCTTCTCAAGGTAATTGCGCTGCAGATAAGCTCTTGATGTACAGTCTGTATGATTAGATAGACAAGCTGGTGTTTGGTCTGAGGTCAACCTGTCCTCACTTCTGCTGCTCAACTACCTTTCCTTTTTTAAGTTTTCATAATAGCTCAAGACTGTTCCAGACCTGTCAGAGGACCCACCATGGATTTGAAGGACAAGGACATTCTGTCACAAACATTCCCAGACGGAAGCAAACTCTCTTTTGCCTGCTGCGAGTTGGAGTCCTGTGTGGCTCTAATGCAAGGGTGAATATTGTCACTTAATTTTATGTTTACATTCCAGCAGTCGTGTTCTACAGCCAGCTCAAGCCCCAATTTCTTTGCCTGCAGAGGCTGAATGTAAAGATGACAAGACTGAAAATGGTGACTGGAGGGAGAAATTTTAAAGCAGCACTTGAAAAGTGCAGCTAATGGAAATAATAATTTCCATGGCCTTCAGCAAATGAAAAGTATCAGCTGGGTGTGAATTTCAGTTGCTAATCTTTAAATATGATAATGATAATCGTGTCATTTCCTATGAATGGCACAAATATTGTAAGAGTCACAGAGTACAAGTATCTTGGAATTGATCTGATTGCTTTGGATTGATGGGAAGGTAACACTTGAATATCATGTAATCTAACTAGTCAGCAAATTAAGACAAAAAAAAAGTTTCTTTTACACGAACAAATCATGTTTTCCTCTGTATTGTAGAGTGAGATGTTTTTTGGGGAAACTTTTCTCTGTCCGAAGGTTTGAGCACTCCTGCTCTAAAATTAATTAAGTTCTTTCTACATCATTGCTGCCTTTTAATATAGACCCTTTCCAAAACATGCCCTAAATGAATGGCTTTCTTATTTTTTTTACTGAGCTTGGAAAATCCCATTTTCACTGTGCCCCTGCAACCTGGAATAACATGGAGAACAATCTAATGCTTAACTAACTTTTATCCTTAGGGTAATTTTTAATTTTTTTTTTAAAGTTACTTTTTTGGCCTTTTTGCGATAGGAAAGTCAATAGAGAGAGACAGGTTCCCAGTTGTTCTTGTTTTTGTTGCTTTAAATTTTGAATACTCTAAATATTCCTAATGGTTTTATTATTATTTATTTATTATTTTGTTTTGCTTTATATATTTTTTTTTTTAAATCATTGTTATTCAAGTTTGTTATATGTGTACCCACATCTATAGTTTAATTTTGGCTGTACAGTAAATGAGGCCTCCATGCCTCAGGATATTCTGAGTTTAAACAACATTGAAATTTAACAGAAGGATTAACTGCCATACTAATAAAACACTGCATTCCAGACAATGGAAAATACAAATTAGTTTTTTGTAAATGGCATTCACTGAAGTCCGAAGGAAAATAAAAGGACTTTGTGAAGAAGCTGTACATTTTTGGTCGCTCTCACATCTGATTTATGTCATTTCGGGGCAAGAAAAACAAACAATTATTGCAACGGCCAATCAATCGCTGCTCAGCAGGAAGGTCACTTCCTCATATTGACCCACCCTGGGGTGAGTCCATTACATCATACTCTGTGAATGCCTTGTTTGATGTTCTGCATTGTTCCCAGTGGAATGTTGGTTTTTGCAAACAATCACAAGCACACACAATTTACAGAGGAGTGCAAAGTCTTTCTGGAAAATGGAAGGAATAGTTTTGGGATGTTTGGAGTCGGCTGCTTCATACTGACCCCACAGTGGTGAGGAGGGGGACTGCAGAGTACTGATCATAGGGGCCGGTTGTAGGGGTGGTGGATAAAGAGGGTTATAGGACTCTAGCTAAATCCCAATGATGTTCTGGGCTGTCTAAATGACCCTTTGCATAACCTTCTTGTCCTTCTTGGTGGAGCTGGCAAACCACACTGTAATGCAGTATGTTAGGATCCACAGTCAATCAGAGGTGTTTCTGAGTCGTCCTTATAGGTGTGAGGGTTTAATTGGGACAGGAAGGGTCTTCTGTGATGTGAGTCCATAGAAATTTGAAACTGGAGACTCCATAGTACAAGGACTGGGCTGGGATATGTTCTCTGAGACATCCTAAAGTCCACTACACTCTCTTTTGTTTTGTGGCTGTAGAGAATGAGATTTTTAGCTGAACACCAGCCTAGCAATTTTTGCAAAGCCTATTGATCATAACCTTGATGTAGCTTTTACTTACCAATGTTTGTTTGCAGGCAAGTTGTATTACTTAGATAGTGATCTGACTTCCGGTGTTCGTTGCGTCGTAGTGGGTGGCGCCGCGTGAGTCATACCAGAGCAAGAGCTAAGAGTCAAACAGACCTGAAACACCATCGTGGTGGAAACTTGTGGCAGTTTTTCCGTTGAGTAAGTTTGAAACTATCCTTTGCCTTAACCGAAATAAAACAGAACTAACGGGACTTTCATGGTGTATCAACGCGATAGCTTTCGTTTTTGCTGTAAGCTAACCGCACTCTAGCTTACCCAGTACCATTTATTGAAATTAACAAATTAATATCCGCAAATTCAGACAGTCAGGTAAACGCCGTGTAAAGTTCCTTTACCCTGATGATTCAGCGGTGACTTCGGCATTGATCCTCTTTCAGTTGTTGTTGGTTTAAAAGTAATTCACGCTGTTATTACTGCGACGCGTTAACGCCTACGCTGTTTTGATCAAGGAAGACGGAGAACAACATGGACGACCTGCCAGTTTCACGGACTAGAATGATAGCAGTTTAGTTCTGCTTTTTTTTTTTTTTTAATAACGTATGCCGAATTTGACAGTCGAAATTACCACAGCATTTAGTAAAGAAGGAGCTCGGTAGCATTACCCAGAAGGGCAGTGTCACATTAGTTTGCTGGAAGAGACAGATTGTGAATTGGGTTTGGTGTAGTGAACACCGTGACGACGCTAAGCGCATTTGCGTTCAAAGATTAGCCTGTGACCAAGATACAAACATTCGAGTCGAAATGGTTATCTTTATTTGTAATGTCCGGTATTTCAGACAGGACTCAGATTGGTTAATATTGTATTTTTAGGTAGGTATTCTGTTGATATCGACATGTTAGCATCAGCGTTTCTTCTAGGTAATGTTTTACGCAACCAAACCTTCTTGAAAAGGCTCCTCGGTAGTACAGTAGTATTACCGTCACAACTAAGTTACATTTATGTATGTCTGACTTGCATTTGGTTTTGTCTTTACCAGTAAGAGCTGACTGGCTTCAGTCAGACTGAACAGAGTCTGTCATGGTTGTCACTGTTCTCCTCCTACTGAGCTGTCTTCTACTTGCTCAAGGTGAGTGCGGTGCGGATGAGCCTGTGATGTGTTATTAGATACACAAACTGGTGTTTGGTCTGAGGTCAACTTTCTCAGTTACTATACACTCCCTCCTCTATCGGGACTGACCCTCTCTAATTTTCTCTTTCATATTTTTAAGCCTCACCCTAACCATCCAGGATCAATAAAGTATTTCAGATTTATTTTTTATTTTTTATTTTTTCATGTTATTATAGCTCAAAACTGTTCCAGACCTGTCGGAGGACCCAACATGGATTTGAGGGACAAGGACATTGTTTCATCAACATTCCCAGATGGAAGCAAAGCCTCTTTTAAGTGTAATGTGGGCTACAGGCCTGAAGGAGGGTCTGCAACCATCACTTGTACCGCTGGGAGGTGGAGTCCTGTGCTGCTCAGATGCCAGAGTGAATATTGTCACTTAATTTTACATTTAAATTCCTAATAGCAGCGGTATTCTAGAGCCAGCTTAAGCTGGTAATATTCTCAAATTTGAAGAAGGTGTTTTACTGAAAAATGTTCTTAATGACAAATGTTGTTTCTGATAATATCTGATGACAATACTGTGGAGTCAGTTGTTCGTAACATTGTCCAGTAATTTGTAAGGGAGGAACCTAATTGTCAAAGTTTCCTTGTTTCAGTTGCGAGCTGTGGCCCACTTGAAGATGTGGTTAATGGAATTATTGACTACCCTAACGATGCAGTATTTGGTGAAAAAGCTGTGATCACTTGTAAGCCAGGGTTAGTATTCATTAAATGGTTCATGTTCAGAGATTTAATTTTTATATACTGATTGATAGTAGCATATTTAAGCAAATAAACAAATAAATACAGTTTCCTCTTATAATGTTCTCAAATTAAAAACAAACAGAAATGATTTCAGTCAAAATGGGTGTTTGCTAAGTCTTGCTTGCTTTTCAGTGTTGTCAAGTGAAATGTAAGTACTAAGGATTTTTTTTCTCCTCCTAACTAGTTTCATATTGGTTGGTAGTAGTGAAATCACTTGTGGAGACCAAGGCTGGATGGATAGGATACCTGTATGTGAAGGTTGGTCATCTTTGTGTGTTAATACATGGCACATTCATACATAATTAAAAATGCACCGTTTTTTGTTTTTAAACACATCTTTTTTTCCACAGTGGTCCAATGTGATCCGCCAGCTGATATTATAGATGGCAAATTCAGTCCAAGCAAAGAATCCTATGCATACCGTGAAGTTGTACAGTACACCTGTAAAAGTGATTATACAATCAATGGATCAAAATCATTATCATGTTCTGAGGATGGGACATTCAAGCCTGCTGCTCCAACATGTACCAGTAAGCTTTTTAAGTAATTTTTCAATCCCAACTTTCTCAGTACTTTCTCATGTCATACTGTGACATACGAATGGAGAAGTAATATCTATTTTTGAATTTCTTTTGCCTGCAGGGGTTCAATGTAAAGATCCTGAGATTGAAAACGGTGGCTATAAAGAGGGTGCTCGACCTCCATACAAACACTCGTCTTCAGTGACGCTCCAGTGCAACTCTGGGTACGTCATGAAAGGAACACCTTTCCTGACATGTGACATAAATAGTCAGTGGTCACCTGCACTTCCAGAATGTGAACGTAAGTCCCACATGAAAATGACTGCTTACATATGAGTATTATCAGAAAACGGTATATATAGTATGGATCTGTGGTTTCTCTATTAGATTTAAAGTAGAATGTTTTGTCTACCATACTTCATTTTCCTTCTTTAAAATAATTAGAGATGGTTGTTGTACCCAGAGATCTACATGTCCAATGTGTTTTTGCTTCTTTGTCATGGTGCCGAGCAAAGTAAGTGTTGCAATGTTGCCTTGCAGGAAATTGCAACTTATGATGTGACAAAATCTTAAACAATATCCCATCTAATTTACAAACCTTAAGACTTTGACATGTTGCATTCAAAGATACAGTCAGCAATTATAACTTAATACTTTTTGTCAAATTCAGTGACTATCTTGTACACAGCCAGGAGCCAAACAAAGTAGCTTGGACCGATCACCTCAACACTATTTCAGTATGTCTGGCGCACGTTTAAGCTCAATTCAATATTTCCTCACAAAATTCTTTGCCTGCAGCGGTTGAATGTAAAGATCCTAAGATTGAAAATGGTAATCGGACGGAGGGTTCTCAGCCTCCATATAGATACTCATCTACGGTGA